GACTGCATGGGTTCTCTTGTTTCAGCATTTCCCAACTTTCAGGCAGTTGTTTTGCATCCTTAACAGTCCTTTCGGGCAGCTTCTTCCTATCTAAGTTTGAGGTTTTATCAAATAAAACAAAAATCCTGAGCAGAACACCTTGAGCTGTGCTACATAAGGCCATGGAGAGTTCAAAAAGAAAAGAAAAAAAAAAAAGGCATTTTTGTGTTTTCAGTCTTACTAAGCGACTTCTTTCCTGAGTTCTATTCTTAGAAGTCACTACCTTGTCTGACAGCATGAAGGTAACCACTCGATCAGTGTGGAAAATACATGCTGGTAAGTCTTTTAGCAACAGCAAATAACAGGCAGCATGTGAGGCTTGCAGAAGAAAATGGGGGAAAGGTGCAACTTTCAGAAGTGCATTACAGGAGATCATCGCATTTGATAAAGCCAGTGGGATTCAGCACCTGAGGCTGTGTGGGGGCTGCTGACGCATCCCAGGCCGCCCAGCACTGCTCCGGTGCATCCCCATGCAGGGAACCGAGTTCAGCCCCAGCTGCAGGAAAGGCCACGGTCTGGGAGTTCGGTCCTTAAAGGAAATGCTGTCTCTAACAGGTGTTATTTGCTTTTGTTCTTTTATTGTTATTTTCTTAAATAGTTCGGAGCTAAGATATGGAAGAGATATCACCTCTCAAACTGAATCACAGATGATGTTTGCTCTTCATCCGTTTTTTCATGGAACTACATAGCAAAATCAAAATAAATTTCTCATAGGCAGCCGACTTACCTATGGGAAACCTTCAGAGAAGGACAACGTTCTTCTGATGTGTATTTCCCTGGGTTTATTCAAATTATGGACTCTTAGCTATAATTTCCAGCCTTGTGAACTGGTCAATATACAGTGAACATTCATTTTGCTTTAATATTTTCTCTTCTCTTTCTGCTAGGAAATAGGAATTGCATTGTTTTAATTCAAGTGGCTAATTGAAAAGCATCATGAGTTACACTGGGGAAATCATAGAACCATTCAGGCTGGAGAAGACCTCTCAGATCCCCAAGCCCAACCAAGCCCACCATGCCTACTGACCACATTCCCCAGTGACATATCCCCACGGCTCTGGAGCTCCTCCAGCAAAGTGACATCCCCATTCCCTGGGCAGCTGTGCCAGTGCTGACCACTCTTTGAAGAATGAATTATTCTCAGTTTCCAACCAGACCCTCCCCATGTGCAGCTTGGGGCCATTCCCTCTCACCTTATCATGGTTATCTGGGAGCAGAGGCTGACCCCCCCACCTCCTTTCAGGAATTGCAGGGAGCAATGAGGTCTCCTCTGAGCCCTCTCTTCTCCAGACAGAACCACCCCAGTTCCCTCAGCTGCTCCCCATAGGATGTGTGCTCCAGAGCCATCGCAGCTGCATCGCCCATTCTTTAGGCAAACTCCAGCACCTCAATGTCTTCCTCTTAGCCTGGGGTCCAAATCTCCACGGTCATGCCACTCTTTTGTTTTGTAGCTGGTCAAAACCAGGGGCGAAAGTGAAAACAGAAGACCTCGTGGGATAGCAAAGCCCATCCTCACCTGGGGACACATTTTGCCTTCTTAGCAAGAGTAGGGCTGCTCTGCCTGCAGGCAGGATGTTTCCAGCAGGATGTTCTGCGTGGACTGCAGTGCCCTGCTGACACAAACAGTGAGAGCTGGTAGATGGAGAACCTTGACCATGTGCAGCAAAGTGTCCCCGTCACACCGTGATTTCCCAGTAGCTGCAAGACCCTTTCCAGGAGTTTAATCACATCCTTTGGAACCCTGACCTATCTGAATCAGCTGAGAAGAACCTCACTGCTAAATAATTGCTGTACAATTGTTAAACAGAAGTGGGCCCATTAATCTGCCATACATTTCAAACAACCAGCAATTTTTTTCTCTCTGACTCAGAGTGTTTGTCCCACAGAGCCATGGAGGCGGTCCTATGCAGCCCACATCCATCACTGAGCACCATCCGAGCAGCACGAGGAGCCGTCCCCAACCTGAAGGTGAGCTGATGGGAATGGCACAGGGCTAAAAATCAATCCGCCAGACTCAGGTCACTCAAGGATAAAGGGGAGAGATTTCAGTCTCCGCTGTGTGGCTGTCAGGCTGTTATTCCCTAGCTATGGCACTGAGAAATAGGTTTCTCAGGCATGTTCCTGCTTGTGAGCATAAAAGCAGATCAGCATCGACGGCCACCTCACTGTGTTGTCACATATTTGTGTAGGCAATTGAAAATAGAAACCCTCAGTGCCACCTGGGGGAAGGCCTGTGCCCAGGGTTTGCCTGCTCGTTGTTTCTGTTTTTCTTTCATTGAGAGCACATGAGAAGAGTCGATGTTTTTTTCCTTTTTCCTGTTCATGTTATTCATTTTTCATTTCACTAACCAACTTCCCCGTTTTGGTTCTACATCCACGACTTTCCAACTCGGCTCTGTCAGCCTGATACTGCGTGGTAATTCCCTTCCTAAGAAAATCACCAGCAATGGGTGTGAATACGCAACATCCCATGGAATAATTTAGGTAATAGCTGAAGCCCAAGAAACAGGAGCAGATGAGAGCACGACGTTGAGCTTCCTCGGAACTGCACAGTCACTTCAGATGAGGATCCACTTCTCTTGTGTTTATTTTATTAGGCCGTATGATGTATTTAATTCCACAGTGAGATACGATTTTGATTCCAAGTGGTAATGAAAGATTTATTATTTGTCAGCCTTTTTTTTTTTTTGCTCTTACATCAGTGACACAGATCTGTTCTTTCTATATAGCTCAAGTGCACTCTGCACTGATGCTGTCGTAGCCCCTGCCAAATTTGGGCTCAGCCCTAAATGCTCCTACCTCACATGTCCTCAGTTAAGAACAGTTTCTGAATCCTTGACCTTGCTCTTACAAAGCTTACATGACCCTGTCCATCTTTTCATTAAACCAGTGTAAATAAGCAGCTGGCACACGCTCACGGCATGTGGAGGAACAGCACAAAAGTCCCAGCAAACAGCTTGTTGTCTGCAACAAAAATGTGTCGTGTTCTTGTTTCAAAGGCGTTCCATTTCAGTGCAACCTAAGTACATTAATCATTAATAAATGTGTGAGGTAGCAACGATGTCACACAAAGGCATTTCCGCTCTGCTCTCAGCAGCCTTTCCTGCAGCTCCTTGACTTCTGCTTTCCCCAGCGTTGGCTCAGTCCCAGCACTGTGTGTCTGCTGAGCTCTGACGGCAGATGGCATCTCTCTCAGAAACAGAGGGGCAGAAAGGATTATTACAGGAGAAAGCAGAGCAGGAAGCTCACTGCCATGCTCTGCCAGGCTGCTGCTGTTGACAAGGTCACATCATTCACTGATTGATGGCAAAAAGCAGACATGGGGCCTTCCCCATTCTTGCCTAGGCAGAGGAAGTGAAGCGCTTTGTTTCTCTGTGTTGTATTGGAAGCACCAAAGGAACCTGGTCCTTTTTTAAATAACGAGATCCACACATCATTGAGTCACCAGTATGTATGATCTGTGGCTTCACAGTCACAGCACAGCATCATTGCCTGCACATGCAGTACTGCTGCTAAGTGAGCTGCTTCCGGCTCTCTGTTCCCCCTCTTGTGATTTGCTCATGGGCTGATGGAGAAGGGAAAGAGAAGCTGGGTAGTTTAACAGATGGGATGAAACTGCCGTACTCCTGTGACTCCTCCACCTCAAATCTGTTTCAAAAAATTAATTTCAGCTATCCTTTGAACTAATGTATTGTAAGGTGGCATTTTCACATATGCTAAGAGATTGGCTTTCTCATTTCTTTATCCAAGAGGTGTGGCCCATTAGCCACAACCCAAATCATGATATCTCTATTCTCCATTATTCAAACCCAAGGTGAACAAATGTAACGAAAGCACAAAGGTCATTACAACATATGCTTATATTTATTTATATTTATACAAGGAAGTGGATGCTTTACTCCCAGTCCGAGAGATATAACATAACTTGCTTCGACTGAATTGGTTACTGACCTTAGCATTAAGAGAAATCAGCTCTTGCTTCCATTCACTGACAGGATTCTTTTGGGCCTAAGCTGTAAATGTGTCCCCTACACCAGAAGTTGTTACAACAAACACCTCATCTGTTTTGTGTAACTACAGCAGAGCGTAGGGTTATGAGGTACAACAGCCATGCTGTCCAACTTTGATATCTTAATTGGTTCTGAGAAAAACAAAATAGAACTACTTGTTCTGTCACTTGTTACAGTAACGTAGGAAGAGCTGAACTAAGATTTGTTTGTTCTCAAACAGCTCTTGTATGCTTTTGCTTTTATTTTGGAGCTGAAGCCTTCTGACTGGGGCAGCAGCAGAGCAGAGGTGGCACCCACTCTCCTCTTTGCATCACCCTGCCAGAAATAGTTCAGAGAGTTCATGGTGGTGATAAATGGACATGAACAGAAACCAAATCCATAAAGTAGGGCATTACGTCACTTGTAGTCTAATACCTGCTGTGGGTTTTGAATTCTCAAAATGAAATATTCTATTTTTCCTACTTTGCATCAGCAGTTCACTGATTTTTCCTGCAAATAATTGAATAGAGCTTTCTAATCCAGCCTTTTTTCTTGCAACCAGGAGGAATTTTGTCACTATAGTCATTCACACCAGCAATCAGTCATACATAGGTTAAATACAATGGAATTAATGAGAGGTATTAAAAATTCACGCCTGGTAAATTGCTTCAGAGCCCAAGAATTACAATTTGTATGTGTATTCGGCTAACAAAATGTCCTTATTATGAAAGTTTGACTGATAAAAGCCAATTAATCAACTACAACATGATGCCCTCACTCTACCAAATAGTCAAATGTTGAAAGGCAGCCTTTGCTGATGAAAGTTTGTACCAGCTGGAGCCCCATGGACAACAACGGGCTTTGTTGGCTCTGACCAGCTTCAGCTGGGCCTCTGCTCACACCCTGCCCACAGACCAGGAGCCCATTTAAGCTTGGCCCTTGATCATTCAACTTCTGCTTGTACTGCTGAAGTGTTGGTCATCAGCTGAGCTGCAACTGTGCCTTCCTCTGGCCATGAACCCTGCTTATTTTGGATCCTAACCTGTGGATTGATCCTGACTCAACCTCAGACTTCTTTCATCACCAAACAGTTGCTGATGGACTGGGTGTTTGGCTGCCATCCTCAGGCCTGTCCTGCTTGCTATGCTTGGTTGCTGTGAGGCTGCACTCTGACAGCGAGGCGCCTGCCTTGCCAGCTGCATTGTGCTTGGCTCCCGGCTCCCTGTCTTTCAGATAGCAGATGATTCTTGCTGTATTTCTACAATAACTATGCACTTGCCAATAAGATTGATGTAGAATGTTACAAGTTTATTTTAAAGAAGAGCTGTCAACAAATAATAATAAAAAAAAATTGCAATCAAAATCGATAATACAAAACATCAGGATGCTTTAGGTGACTATGTTTCATGTAGAGGAGGTAATTGCTTCTGTTGACTTGAGGGAAGGCTTACATTTGACTTCTCTCTTCATCGGGCCAAGATATCCTTAAGTCAAATTCATGCATGGAGGGTAAGTTGGCACCATACAGCATGATTACGTAGCTTTTAGAGGCACTAGGTACTGTTCTCTTGGCTATTGGATGCAGAACAGTTTTACTCAGATTTACTGTAAGGTCAGTCTCATTGCTTCTTACTGATTTGGGCTGCCAAATGGTGCTGGTCCATACGCTGTGCCTCCCGTAAATGTATTATCTCCTCACTCCAGGCACTCATTTCTCTCCAAGTCAGAAAAGTCTACATTCCTCCGTATGGACGACCATTATTAGATACAGCATGGACTGAAGTGTATTCTCTTCAACAGGTAGAAAAAAGAAATGGCTGAGGAATCTGGAGCAGAAGCAGAAGACATGGATGGAACAAGCACTCCTAGGGTGGCGTGTAACACTGAATACAGCCGGGAGCCTATCGCAAACCTATGTGAGGTGATGGGGGCAGAGCGGGTTCTCTAATTAACAGCTGCGGTAATTACGGGCTGACCTGGTGCGGGGCGGCCGCTGTCCGTGGTGCTGGAGGCGTCGGCGCTCTGCTGCCGAGGGCAGACGAGGCGCTGGGGGTCGCGGTGAGCGGGCACAGTGGGGTTGGGTCGGGGGAGGGCCAGGTGAGCCCAGCCTTTCCCAACCTTAGTGATTCTACGATCTGAGCCCGCTTCCCAATTTCCGCTTTATAGAATTGTGGCTGGCAGTCTTACAAAAAAAAAAAGTTGTAGCAACTATTTGTGATAAAGGTGATTTTCCACCACGCTTAATGATGGTGAAGATAGCTTTTGTTATGCTTGCAATGGCAAACTGCACCTCGGAAGGAGGAGTTTGTTTTGTGACGTCCTGAGCCAGCCAATTTAAACTCACCTGTGTCGTTAGATGCAAAAGAAGGTAAAAGAAATGCTTTGGCTTCAAGAAAAGCCTTGATGAGATAGCTCATGCCTCTCTAGCTCTGGGATAAGGCAACCATAAGACAAGCCACAGGCTTTCTGGGCTCCACGGTTACTGAAATTGTTTTCAAAATGATTATTCATCAAAACCATTTTATATTTTTGGACATGCCAAATTGAATGACCATTGTGGATTCATCATCTGCCCAGTTAGCTCAAAGGTACAGATTAAAATATATTATCTGTGTGTGAATACATCTATCTCTACATATATACATCTTCTCTATTCCACTAAGCAGTAGTTCTGCTTGTAATAATGAGAACTGGGTGATCAGTTCACCAGTGAAAACCAGACAAAGGACCAGACAAGGTGAAAACTCAAGGCATCAATGCAACTTCAGATCTAGGTAAACGAAGGAGGAGGAAGAAAGTTCCTGCCCAGGCACAGGAAGCAAGGACATGTGAACTGCAATGAAAGGAGGGGAGTTTCTGCTTACTCAATGTAGCTGGGATGTTTTGGAGCTGGGTATATTGTGGTTTGATGTCAGACTAGCTCACTTGGAATGGATAACGTAGCTCCAGAGAAACGCTGAGAGATGATGGAAGAAGTTCAAACATCTTTCTGGTCAGCACACAATGGAAGCTAAAATAGTATTCTGAATAGTTATATTAACTTAGCAGATTCTTGCACTGATTTCCTCAACAAATGCTGAATTAGACAAGGGGAGAATGATCTCATAATTCTGCAATGAAACAGAAAAGAGGGCATGATTACCAACATAAGAAACTAGGAAGGCAGACAGCTGATACTGAAATGTGGGGGAGTGCTGAGTCACTGCACTGAGTGCTGCCATAGTAACGATTTACCAGCTGGTTGGGGATGAAAACAGATTGAAAAACCTGACATAAAAATTGGGCAAGTTCCAGCTTGAAATATAGTACACACTTCTTAAAAGAATTAATAAAATGGAGCACTTTCAAAGGGTGTTTTTTTGTATTTAGTGTTACTTTGAGCAACAAGATTACAGCAGAATGTTGAATGAGCACAGAAGAGAACCCGAAAAAAAATAATGGATATTTCTTCTTTTAGACAAATGTTGTAATGGTGAGAATGAGTAGGAGCAGCTTTAAATCTTTTTGGTATTATTCAGAGGTGTGGTATAGCATGTGTTCCCTATGGCCCAGACCAGAGTGTGAAGGAGCAGGGCAGCAGGATCTTCTGGTAGTAACAGAGTTAAACTGGAAAACTTAACATAGCTTGGAGAGGGGTGTAAGCTCAGATTCCTTGGATGGCCTTTTCTGACTATATTTTTTGGTCTGGATATTAGGAATACTGTTGTTGTATCTCCTGGCATCTCCTGCTGGCCAAAGGTATGACCTCTGTAAGAGCCGACTGTGAAACTGCAGCCGTTTGGAACGTTCATTTGACTCATGAATTCTGAGTAGGATTCTGGGTGGTTTCTTACTGTGGAAAATGTCAACATCGTGACAGGTGTCTCACACATCTTGAAACAGTCTCCATTGCTCTCATCCTAGGTGACAGACAACAGGGAGTGGCAGTGCTTTAAATAAGAGGTGTGAGCAGCTTCAGAAAATGGCCTCCTCAGCTGGACCTGGTGATGGTCATTTGGGCAACATTTGCCTCGGTTTGTAATGAAAAGCTACCGAAGGATTGAAACAGAAGTCAAGAATTAGAAGAAGGCTCATGAGAACTTCACAGAAAGGCAGGAAATCTGTGGTGAAACACAGGAAGTCAGCAGTCTTTTTTTAGTTGACACCGAGGTTGGAGGAGATGCTGCTGGAGCTGATGAGGTCAGGGAAGCTCTTCCTCGCAGAGCACGGCTGGGCACCTCACAGGTCCCCAGAACCAGGAGGCACAGGTGGTTTTCATTGTGTCAGTGGCCTTCACTCCTTGGTGAGGAGGAGGAAAGGCCTTTTCAGGACTCGATGTACAAATCTTTGCTGTAAACTTCAGTGGAATTCTGGAAGATGATGGACTTTAAGCAGTCCCTACTGCTCCCTCAGCTTCCCTACAGAGGTATTAATTTCTAAGTCCATCCCCCAAAAGACCAGGAGATGCTGTGTGATTAGGACAGCTTAATTCCTTCTATCTTTCAGCTTCAGTACTGTCATATCTAGATTTGCAGGAGCCCAGAGGCTGGGCTCAGCAAATACCAGTGGTGCTTCAGGGGGAGTCCTAGTGGCTGTGGGCTGCAGATTGCTTGCAGGAAACGAGATGTGCTAACAGCCTTCAAAAGCATGGAAGCTGCTGCATAGAAGAAAGTACAAAGTGAGGAAAGAAATGTTCTTCCTTATCAAGAATGAATGTTTCAGGAATAGACTAGACAAAAGCTTTTAAGTAAAACAGCCATAAAATAGGACCTGGCAAAATCATTTCTCTGCTCCTAGGCAATCTAATTTACTTTTATTTGATTTTTCTGGGACCAGGTGTAGCTGAAGTCACAATTGCTGTTGTCTGTGAGGGCCTTTATCAAGAGAACTGAAGTCTGAAGGTACAGATACGGTTGTCTTAAGTCTTCACTGCAGCACCCTTGAGTTTTTTTGTTGTATGTTTGTTGTAGTTTGTATTTTTTGCTTTGAGATGAAGGACTTTGGAAACCCAATTTACCTGAGCGGTTGGATGTAGCAATTTCTTTACAGCTTTCAGCAGTGGGCAGTAGTGACACTAACAGGTGATACCAGTTTTAGTCAGACGTTGATCTTCTGTATGCAGGAAATTTTAAGTCTTCTTTTTAAAGTGAATCAGGAGGAAACCACATTTAAAGTGCCTTTGCCCATCAAATGGAAATTCTTCATCTACATCAGCTCTGTTCTCACTTTAGAAAGTCAAAAGCCTTTATCTTCAAAGAAAATCACATCTAGACAGGACAGCTTTAATCATTGATAAATGAGGGCTAATTCCTCACGTGCAGGGGATGTTTGGTTGCACCTTGCTCCATGCTCACAAGGAGTTAAGCAGCTGCTTGCTGAGGTTCTGCCTGCCCTGCAGATCTGTCATTCTTGCTGCTCAAGAAAAAGGACACGACGGTGCGTTTTCCACTCCTTGCCACTCCTGACCCATTTTCCCACTGGCTGTGCTTGCTGGGGATGTGACATCCGAGCTCACTGCTGGCGCAGCCGTTGTAAAGCTTTGTTCTGCAAAGCCCTTCTCGTACCGTGGAGCTCAGATTAATTTCCTACAACCAGCTTTGTTCGGGGAGAGATGGAATCGCTAAGAATACAAATCTGTTGGCTCCTCCCATCCGTTTGCCAGCATAAGCGTTCCATCTCCTTTTGCATGTAGCCGTTTGCTGCGTTTCTGAGGTTTTGATGTATCTCGCAGCAATGCCGATCTGCCTCCAAGCAATTCTGATGGAGCTGTCGGTATTTCTGCTGGTCGGGGCTTTCGGGACCGCTACCACGCGGGTCGCCATTCAGAGGCAATTTCACAGACCAAAGGCGAAAATACCGATCGCTGCGGAATAAAGTTTCTCCCTTTTCCTCTTTCCCCCGGTGCTCAGAGGGGGGAAGGGACCTGCGCACACCGCCGAGCAGCCTCGCCCGATGTAAGAAGGAGCCGGAGGGCTGGCCAGGATGGGGAGAGGAGGAGGAGGGATGCTAAAAATACCGCCCTATACCGGGCAGCGCGCGGTGCCGGTGCGGGCCGGGTGCGCAGCGTGCGCGCCGCAGTGCGCGGCGGGAGCGGCCGCGCCGCAGGGATGCTCGCCCCGCTGCTGGGCTCCGCGGGCTCCGGCTGCCTGCTGCTGGGTGAGTGCCCGACCCGCTGCAACCCAAGGCCCTCCCTGACCGCCGTGGGTCCCGCCGTGCGGGAGAGGGGCTGCGGGCGGGGGGGCGGGCGGTGGCGGCGCGGCCCGGTCGAAGCGAGCGGGGAACGGAGCCCCCCGGCCCTGTGAGCGGTTCCCCGGCCTCCCGGCACGGGTATTCCTATTTCATTACTTTCCGATTAAAAGGGGGGAAACGCGGTCGGATGGAAGCCGATGCTGAACGGCAGGGGTGGTTTCGGAGGTGAAAATTTGCTATTCTGCTGCATGCATGCAGTTTGATGGCACACAATGAGACGATGCGGCAGAGCCGGAGAGGGCTGGAGGAACGGCTGGGTGTGTTACGTAATTTCAAAGCATCCTGAGGGGTTGTTTGGTCCATCTCTGGCAGTGAGTAAGGGCACTTTCTGCTTATTTGCAGCGGGTGCATGAAATAGGGCAGTGCGTGGGGCTGCATGTGTGGGTGGGCAGGGCTGAACTGGTGTCCCATTGTTTCGTGGACGGGTAGTGATGGTTCAGAGTGTGCCTGGACTAATAATCCGTGCGAGTCTGAAATAGGTGCTTCTCTGTAAGGTGTGCAAGGGTTTGGCCTTAAACTGGGACCTTCGAATCTGAAGCCTCTTCACTGCAGAAAGGCATGGCTCGGTGCCTGTGCTATTTCTCCCAGCAGACTTCCAAGGAGAAGTACAAAGGGGAAACAATTTTTAAAGATGACAGCTTTGCATCATTAGGTAAATCTTCTGCTGGGAAGTGCCAAGAATGGAAAACATGTTGTAATTATTTATGTGCACGTCTACTTGATGTTTCCGAATCTGGAAAAGATGAAAAAAAATAGGGAACTGAATATCACCTTTGTCTTTGGATACATCCTGGTGGCTCACACTGAAGTCAGCGTGCTTTGGCTGCTTCAAGCAGCTGCTTCTGAACTGCAACAAAACTCACACAGGGCTAATTTTGCCCAGTGGGAATTCCACGGGTGAATCAGAGAGCAGGAGCTGGCTCAGGGGCTGCAGGCGAATGTTTGTTGCAGTGTTTTGGGCCCAGAGCCCCAGAGATTGCTCTGAGCTCCGTTATTGGAACTGAAATTTGCTTATGACAACAGCAGAGCGGAGCCAGTGGGGAATGATTCCCTGGGGCCTCCATGTGCACACTGCAGGACCAACCCCCTGATAGAACCACTGAGGTTGGAAAAGACCTCTCAGATCCCTAAGCCCAATCCCAACCCATCCCACCATGCCTGCTGACCATGACCCTCCAGTGTCCCATCTCCATATTCTGGAGCAACTCCAGGCACGGTGATTCCCTGCTTTCAGGGCAGCCTGTTAGTACCACCCTGCCACCTCCACACATCTCTCTCTGCATGCCCTGCCATCCCCAAGTGTCCATCCATCCAGGTGTGGCTCTGGCTCATGGCCTCCCTTAATTCCTCACCCGTTTTACTTTGGTGGAAATGGTGATTTCAGCCTGAGCTTTTGTGCCCTGAGTGCCCCGTGCTGCCACTGCCCCTCACAAGTGCCAGGCTGCCCAAGGGAGATGGCTCTGTGCTCAGATCCTGTCCAGCCCAGTAGCTGTGTGCCTCTGGTTGCTGCTGTTGCATGTCGTCTTGGTCTTCTGGTGGCTTTGTCCCATTGAACACAGCCCCGTGCTGCTGAGGGAACATGGTAGCCGTGCTGATGTACTTAACGAGATGCATGATGTCCACCACATGCCAGTGCAGTGCTCTTGCTGGGTTTCTATGAATTTCTTGCACACCTATAATGGGTTTTAATCACTGAGGATGGGTCTGCAGTGCTGACCTTGGTGGAATAATGCTGGAGACAAAGACAATTAATTCCCAATGCGCAGACAAGCTCTCTGTTACCCTGGGTGCTCTGTTGGATGCAGAGCAGGCACCAGAGGGCAGAGATTTGCACCTTGGGATGGTGTGTTTGTGGCTTTACAACATCGCAGCTGAATCCCTCACATGAAAACTCTGGAGAGGCTGCAAGGGACTCTTACAGCCCCATTTCCAAACCCTCCTCTCACACTGTGACACAGAGCCCTCTGACAGCCTGAAGTTCAGGTCTCAGGACAGGGGACGTTCCCCGCTGCGCTCTGCGTGTGGCACAAAGCAGATGCCCAGGGCTGGGCATGGAGCACTGACTGCTGTGCAGAGGCAGTGCCTGGGCTGTGCAGTGAGATATATTTAGTTGCTTTTATTCTCCAGCTCTATTACTTTTCCATTTAGACAATTGTTAGATACCATCAAAAGGAAGGAGTAAATGTACCCGCATTTCTCTGCTTGCTTGTGGGGAAAGGCAGCGCACAGCAGTTTTCTCTGCTGCTCTGGACTAATTTAGACATTTATTTGATTTTTGTCTCCACTCTACTATGGATGTTACCAATTTTTCTAAGTAATGAAAAGAGGAGAAAAGCTTTGAAGGCAACTGGCAAACCGAACTAACTGAATACCCATGGATGTAGGAAAGCTGACTTGGGAGCAAGCCAGGGAGAAAGAAAAATGATGTTACAGAACTGAGAGTTGGCTCTGTATCACCGAGCACCACTGAGCATCGCAGGGCTTAAACCTTTCCTCGTTATTATGTTTCTGTGAGGAATCTGTGTGAAAATTTGCAGAATCATTCAGGTAGGAGAAGACCTCTCAGGTCCCCAAGCCCAGCTCACCATGCCCACTGACTGCGTCCCCAGTGCCACATCTCCACATTCTGAAGCATCCCCAGGTCGGTGGCTCCCCGTTCCCTGGGCAGCTGTGCCAGCACCTGACTGCTCTCTGGAGAAGAGATTGTTCCCAACAGCCAACCTGATATCACCATACAGTGGCTGCAGCACTCAGCTGACTCACAGGGAGCTGAGGCAGGCGCTGGAGGACACCAAGGGATGCTCCGTCCCCATGGCCTTCTTCTGGGCTTTGCTCCTTCTTACCAGCAAGGAAGAAGAAAGGAGAGCATCTATTAATATTACTTTTATTTATAAGTGTTTCTTCCTTTGGCAATGGATCGATACAGTGAGGGTTTTTTAATCACTGCTATTTATGTGCCTTGTGCTGCTGTGCGAAGCCAAACCCTGCAGGTCCCTGGGTTGGGGTTTGGGCCATTTCTGCAGCCTGATGCAATGGATTGAGGTGTGCCAGAGAGGACGTGGCTTTAAAATATGGATAAAG